TCTTTTTGTGTTATCTGAATTCGGTTGTTCATCAAGAATTGTTGATTGACATATATCTAATAGTTGTAAAAAATTATTTACTCGATACGCTATTTTTTTTTTGGGACAACTGTCGCGTTAGTTTCACAATAACCTAAGAGTCCTAGTGGTAGGGTTAATTTATATGGAGAGTTGTTATATTTGTGTAGAGAACTCATATCAGAGCTTGAGTCTTTCATGTATTTATTAGATGGAATTGTTACTCGAAAAAATTTATGGATTGGTCTGAATTCAAGGTCAGATATAAAGAGATGTTGTTTGTTTTGCTCTTTATCATATTGGTGAATTAGTTTGATCGAGAAATTATACATGTTTCCCGATAGTGGTTTCAGGGGTTTTTGTTCCTGATTATATATGGGGTTAAATTTTGAGAAAAATGAAATTTGTTTGTTTATTCTTTGAACAAATGTCAAAGAGGTGTTTTTCATTCTTGTGTATTTGTCTTTTTTATGAATTTTACTATTCAAGATATTTATTGTTGGTATATATTTAGTAAAAAATGGTATTCCAATGATAATGTGTTTTATATCAGTGATATGGAAGGTTTGTTTAAATGGTTTGCTTATGAGTTTGTTTTGTTCCATTGTTCGAGTGGGAACAAAGAAGAGTTGTATTTTTCCAATGATTGTTAAGGTTGATCCTTGTGCGGTTGCTAGTCTACTTGTTGTTTTGAAGGGTATAAATTGGGGATGTAGAATTTTGATTTCATTCCAAGTGGGAATGTTTATCATATTTGATTCTGCTCCAGAATCTATTAAAAAATCCATTTCAAGATCTGGTGTTTGCAATTGTTTTGATTTTGGACTTTCTAAAAGAATTGAGATTGTTCATTTTTTTTCTTTTTGCAAATGTGTTTTTTTAGGTTTGTATTGATAAATATAATTTGTGTTTGAGCATTCTGTGGATTTATCTTCTGTTACTTCTTCTATTATTCTTTGTATCTTTTCTTTTGTTGTTTTATTGGGTATAGGTCTTCTATAATAATTTATAAGAAATTGATCATGGTTTTGATATATGTGAGAATATATCGGTTGTTCATATATAAAAGGCTCATAATCATTTTCAACGTTTATCATGTTAATTGAAATTGTGTTTTCTGTATCACTTTCGCTATCTGTGAATTCGCAATTGATGTTGTTTAATTGTAATTCTGTACTTTCGTTATTCACAATACTGGGGGGTGGGGGTCTGGTTGAGTTTCTTCAGATGATTGTACTTGATTTTTTTTGTCTTTGATGTTTAGGTGTATTTTGTTGTGAATTTTGATAACGTGTGTTATTCCTATGTGGTGATTGAGAGTAGTTTTTTTGTCTGTTGTTATAATTTTGTTGTGAATTTTGATAACGTGTGTTATTCCTATGTGGTGATTGAGAGTAGTTTTTTTGTCTGTTGTTATAGCTTGAGCTTCTGTTCTGTGAATTATCGCGTGATCTATTTTGATAGTTATTATATTTTGATCTGTTGTTCGAATAATCGCGTGATCGATTATTTTGATATCTGGAGTTTCGATTGTTTGACTAATTTCTATTCCGATTGTTTAAATAATTTTTATATCGATTGTATGAAGAGTTTCTGGATCTATTATTTGAAAAATTTCTGTTTCTAGAATTTGAATGGGATCTGGCATTTAACGAAAAATCGGGTTGATATGAATTTGATCTTGAATAGTTATTTTGATATTGACTATTTCGACTATGTGATCGATTATATCTGTTTTGTAAGAAATTTTGTGAACTTCTTTGGTATGGTGATTGTCCTCTATAATTGGTATTATAGGGTGATTGTTGTCTAGAGTAGTTGGAGTTATTTGGAAGTGGTTTTCCTGAAATATTATTACTATGAATGTGTTTGTTGGGTAAGTTTTGATCTTTTTTCATGTATTGATGAAAAGATTTGTTGGAGTCTCTATACTTTTGTGGTTTATTTTGATTATCTTGTTGTTTTTTGTCTGCATTCAGAGATACTGTGTCCGTATCTTCGACAATAATTACACCATTTTTTGAAAGATGGTTTTCCTTTGAAATTCGGGTTTTACTCGTAGATGTATAAAATTTTGGTGATTTTTTCGGGTAAATCGGTATCAGAGTCGTTGATATCGTTTATGTATGAAGTAGTGGTTTGGATGTTGTTTACATATTGTAATTTTAAGTTTTCTGTTTCTTCTAATTTCATAGTGATTTCTGCTTGTTCTAGTTTATTTACTAGTTTCCTAAAATCTAAGTCTGGTTCTCGGATTGAGGAAGGAAGTGATGCTCTCTTTTTTATTGCTATTTTTCGCAATCGAGATGTTAGAGTCATCATTAGGATTTCTGTCATTTTTGTATTTTTATAATCACGAATATTAAGTAAATTTGCTTTTCGGACTAGTGTTTCTATTCTTACTGCAAGTTGTTTTATTGTTTCTTTGGGCAGTCTACGAATTTCATTAGCATAAAACTCTTTGATGTTGTTAGTTTTTTTCTGAGTCAAACAGTTTTGAGAATTCTTTTGCAATCTGATTTTATTTCTTAGGTAAAACTGAAAACCATTTTTGAGCTGCGCTGGGTAGTTTGGATAAGAGCTGTGCGTCTATGTATCCAATTTTGATGAAGTGGCGGCTTGTGGCATTTGAGAAAAATTTGTTAGGTGGCTTTTTGTTATTTCGTGTTGTTGTAATTAATATGGTAGTGGGATTTCATTTTGCATCTGAGTCGGTTGATATGAATATGTATTAACTGGATTTTTTTTGTTGAAAATTGTTATTGTAAGGTGTTGGATTAGTTTTAGCTTGTCCTATTTGTTCATTTCGTGTGTAGGGTTCAAAAATATCTGGTTGATCAATACTGTAAAAACAAGGATTTTGATTTGAGGAAAATTGTTGATGATTCTGATTATAGTATTCATCATCTTCTGATGGAAAATAATTTTGTGCGTAATGATGAGGTTGATTTTTAGTATGGTATCTATTTGCATTGTTTTTACGTTGTTGAAAAAATGGGTAGTTTCATTTTGTTCTTGTGAGGATCGTGGTTGATCATAAAAATTTACTGAGTTTAAAATCGGTTGCGGTACATTTTGACTTTGTGCAAATATTTAAGTATTTGTTTTAGTTTTTGTCGTTTTTGGTCCAATGACATAATTGTTATTGTGTTCTGCAAAATTATTTCTGTGTTGTTTGTATGATGGTTTTGTTACTGGTCGAAACGTTTTGTAATCCATTTGTGAATATTTTTGTGCAACAGAGGATTTTACTAGGGATTGTATGATTTTTTGTTGTAACGTTGGATTTTTTAGTTTTGGAGTTGTAAAATATGGTTGAATAGGTGAAATGCTTCGTTGTGCTTCTGTTGTTGTTATTGTTATATAATTGATCGTCTATTTGGTGATTTTTGTTTATTGAGTCTTTTAAATTATGAAGTTCGTGTATTGCCGTTGTTTCTGATTCTGAGACTGCGTTTCTTCGTTTTGAAAATTTTTTCATAATAATCTGTTTTTGTTTAATAATTATCTTTTTTCTTAGTGTTTGTCTTTTTGTTCTTATATATCCTATTAATTGTCTGTGTGGTGTGACTACGAGGTCGTATTTTTTGTCGTTAATTAAACAATTGTGTATTATGATTGTTTGTTTTTTTTTCTAAATAAGGTTTACATAAGGTTTAGGATGATGGATGCACAATCTGGATTAGTGATTCTATTGCCTTAAGCTGGTAGGTCTTACAATTTTTTGTGGTTAGCTTAACTTAGATCGTATATTTGGGTAGGAGAGAAAGCGTATATCGATTCTGAAGAATGGTTTGTACTTTCTGGTGACTAATTCTAAGCTAAGATTTGACCTACCTAATCTTACCTAGGGGTTGCGATTTGTGATCAAGGGTTGGAGAATAGTAAATCGATCCACAAGGTTCAGGTATAATTAGAGCGCAAGTAGTTCGTTAGATAGTATTTTATGACTTACTAAGTTTAAGTGTTTTAGCCTGGGTCATCTAAGAGGAGTGGGATCAAGTGAAGGATGAGTAACCGAAGTTCTTCACTGTTTAGCGTAATTAAAATGGTTAGTTTTTTTAAAAAAATTTCTGTTAATTCTGGGTCTTTGATAAGGGTTGGGTAGTGAATCGACGTTTGAGGTTGTTAGACAGTAATTTAATGTGGAGGGGGATAACAAAATTGTTCTCTTTGATCCAAGGATAGGGCTTGATGATCAGAGATTTAAATATTGAGAAATTTAAAATTTAAGATATAATTTAATTTAAAGATCCAAGGGAAGCCTTGATGATCTGTTATTTAAATGGAATTAATTTAATTGAAAGTAAGGATAAGCCTTGATACTTTAAAGTTAGAGCGTTAAGGTTAGGTGTTAGTTTTGGTGATTGTTAGTTTTTAAAATTCGCTGTTCTGTTTTAGGTGATGAAGCTGGGATGATGTGATGAATTATAATACTATCAATTTTTGATTTATACAAACTGATTTTTGTATTTTTATATTTAAAAATGTTTTTTCAAGATGTCAATTAATTTACAGCTGAGTTAAGGAAAACGACAAGTGTTGTTTTTATCAGTCGTTATTGTACAATTATTAGTGTAGCGCAATGAAAGGTTATTTAAAAGTAGGGTTGGTTGCTCCAGATGAGTTATGTATAGGTTACTGTACTCATAGAGTAATTTCAGATAAGGTACACCGTCTGCCCGTCACGCTATCTTATTTTCGGCCGGATAGATTCGTGCAACTTCTTAGTCTAATACCAATCTTAATCTTACTCTTATATCTCCTAGTCTCAATAGATCTAGTGTACACCGGTTTGTGCGAGTTAGTTCCAGAATGAGAACAACTGTATTCTAAGTTTAATTCAAATTGTTCTGGTGTTGAAACTACAAGTAGTTTCAACACTTTATGAACAAATAGGTTGTTAGCTTGATGGAGTATGATTGGTTAGTATTTAATATTTTATAGAGATAAACTATCATAATAATAACCATTGATAAATACTAGTTTAGATCTGGTTCCAGTTTGCTACTCTGAGGTATGCTTTAGTTTCATGTTTTCACGTTCTTATTTTACATTTATTTTGTTTTCACAACACAAGCCATGTTTTCACATGCCTGTTCCATTTTGCACTTTGTGGTATGCACTAGGTTCATGTTTCCACATGCCTGTTTCACTTCCATATCACTTCCATATGTTTCGGTAAACACTCATTTCTAAAAAGTCTGTTTATACTGATAATGTTAAGGCATCCTGCCAAAAGTTTACATTTCACCTATACAAAAATTTAACAGTCGGCAAATCTAACTGTAGGCAAGTAATCTCATACCATATGTACAGCAGAATGCTTCAAAATAAGAGTTGGCCAAAATTTGGGAAGAAGTCCTCCCGCACTCTATTCCTATCCACAAAATAAAAACCAAATCACTCCACGAACTATCATTCGATAGCCTTTTTGGAAAAACCGTCGCGTGTTTTCGAAAAAACAATCAATAACAGTTTTTGAAGCAATGCAGAAACACTAACATCCCTCCCGATGACCAAGCGGCCTTTCAAAGTGGATGTTGCTCTGGCGACACTACGTGGACTGTCGTTCCAAATGCGATATTATCTCTCAGCAGTCAGCAGAAATGGACCTTGGTACAGACTACTGAAATAGCGGGCTCGTTTGACAGGGTGGATCGTAGTATTCTTCTTCGTCGCCTAGAATAAGTTGGGATCCGGTCTAACTTGCTGCGTCTTATGAAAAACTCCCTACCTGGTCGTACGTGAAAATACTAAGTCGGCTAGCAGCTCATAGTCAGCTAGAGTCTGTCAAGGATCTTGTTTAGGCGCAGTAATCTGGTTAATTTACTTTGCAGGCATCCGCAGCGCATCTAGTGGAAGCGACGACTCAACGCATACTTACGTTTATGCGGACGTCCACAGTATCGAAAATTCCACCGAAACCACAGTGTGCAGTAATGATGATGCAGCCAGTAAGTGGTGCAAAGACCATCCTATTGCGATGGAACCATCTAAGCGGATGCTCACCACTTTCTCACTCACTGGTAAGATTGACCATGAATTGTCATTTTGACGAAGTTGTAACCAAGCTGCTTTGAAGACCTTTCAGCTCCAACGCCTACAATCTACCTACCCGACGCTCAGCTAAACAAGCAAGACATTTGCTTTGAAACGCTTAAGCGAACTTACAGGCCGTGAACTGCTACCTTTTTCCTGATGGCGTCATGTCGTTATGATAAGCTCGCCTCATCTCATCATAGTTTTAGGCAGAAATTCCAGCAAATAATCATTGCCTTTTTAGCCCCCGTTTGATTACCTGTCATATAAAAACTGGTGCAGCATCGGAACGACACCAGCTCACAGTAAAGACCAGAACAACAGCACGAGACTGCGCTGTCTACAGAAGAAGGTCGGAGGTACAGAAGGCATGGAATGACTTTCCCCCAGAAACTTTCAATGAAGCTTCTGATTTTGGTCACTTGTCTTCCTTCAAATTGGAAATTGCTAAACTATATAAACACTTGTAGACAAAAAACTGTCTTCTCAAAACCATCGAAAAAGTCAGTAGAAAAACATTTCACCCAAAGTTTTGATGTTTTTTTTGTTTTTTTTTCGAAAAAAACCTCTCCCAAAACTAAGTTTTAAGTTTCAATAAATAAAAAACAAATTCAATTTAATTTGCCCAGAATAAGCGGCTACGCTCAAATTTTTTGTACAAATAAAGTTATGGCTCTCGGATTAGTCAAATTTTTGAAGAACGGTTTTTGAATCTTTTTGACTTAGCTAGAAAACTAACCTCCCAAATATGACATTGTGTGTTCCACGGACATAAACGGTAATGCGAAGCTCCCTTGCATTAACCCCTTAATGGCTATTCACAAAAATGTTACGCATAAACTTATTGTCTTCGAATTTTAATTTTTGGTTTAATTAGTTTTTTTTATACTTTTCTCAAAACTACTTGGCGTAACCTGAGATTTTGCGTCCAAGTCGAGGGTCGGGTTGAGAGAAGCTCATTTGCATTTTGCGAATAAGTCCAAAATTATTGACACCAAAATTTATGGCCCGCGTATAAATCAAGTTTTGATTTCTTGACTGCTTTCTTAAAAGTTTTTGAATTTTATTGAGAACTACCATCCCAGATTCTGAGATTTTGGGCTCAATCGATTGAAACAACCAGTTGCGATAATTTTCCACGCAGAAGCGGCGACTCCTGATTTTTTTTCTGTAAGAAAAAAGCTGTTTCCTTCAGAGAAATCAATTATCTCAAAAACTTCACCTTCTCACTTATTGAGGTAGAGGAACAACTAAAGTTTTGGGCTCAGCCCAAAATTTAAATTTGCATGTTTGATCCCGCATCAGTTTTATAATTTTATACAATATTAAGCACGTGCCTCCAATTTTAGTTGAGCTTCTAGTTTTTTTTCGAGACATACGGAAATTTTGATTCATCTATTTTTTTCAAAACTTTAAATTTTTTTTCGAATTGTAATTTTTTTTTTTATGTCCGCTTCGCCTCTTGTTGGTAATTTTATTCCAAAAGATTTAAAAAAAGATCAATAATTTCAAAATTTCACTGGATTTTTCACAAATGGCGATATTCATCTTTATGAGTAAGGGGAGAGAACAGGGCTGTCTATTAAATTCTCAACAACGCAGAAACAGTAAGGAATTGCTAAAAATGAAACTAAATTGCGCGTAATTTTCTAGAACATGACAGGACAAAAAAAGTTTGAGTCTAAGCAACGTAGCGATTTTGCAGGAAAAAAACTACACAATCACATTAATGTTTAAGCTAAAACGTGCATTAGTTTGCTATTTTGGTGCAAATCAAGCAATTTACGTTGAATTTATCAACCTTTTTTTTTTGACTTTGCGTTGTTCTGAAACTTAATGTATAGCCCTGATTCCCTGCCTCCTTGGCGAAACTAAGATTGATTACCAATCTTGGAGCTATTGTATAGGAACCTAATCAGCTGTTTTTGTTCGTTGATTGTTGTTATTATATCGTGATAAAGTGCCTGGAAAAATTTTTATATGGAAAGTCTTAGCAATTTTTTCAAATTCAGTTTTTTTTCGCGTTGTTGTAGAAGTTCAATCGTCTAACCTACTTTTCAGGTTATTTGATTGTCTGTTCCTTTTGTTTATCTGTTCCTTAAGCGTATGCTGTCTTTCTAGCAGCTTTTTAATAACATCCGACAAAAATTCCCTAAAATCGGAAAAATGCAATTAGAGACATTCTTCATGAACCATTTTTTAAGTTTGAGTTTTCACAGTAAAATCTGCATAATACCTGTCATCACATTATGATTTTATAATTTGGCAAATTACCATTTTTTTGATAAAAAAGCATAGCAGCAAAAATAGCCTTAGGCCAAATTCTCAGCAACTTACTAGTTTGGTTAAGGTGCATTAAAATTATTAGTGATATCGTTAAATTTTAGCAAATTTGGTTCTTATATTAATTGTTTTTATCTATTTGACTTACAAGCTCAAGGCTGGGGAGCAGCTTAAGCTACGCACAGGACCTAGTAGCTGCCATTTCTTAATTTAAATAAGCTAATGAAGCTAATTTTTCTTGTGTGCAACTATTCCAGATATAAAATTGAATATTTGACATAAGCTAGGTGAAACTTTGATGAAACTTGGAAAATTGGGAAGGAATTTGTTGGCCAAAATTTGAAAAATTTTGCATCGAAGGCCTAACTTAGCCAGTATAAAATAAATCTGGAGGCTTATGAGCTTGTTTTGATTTTTATGTTGCCGAAAAAAGATAGATAACAGAATTTAAAGAACTACTTAGTCTGGCGTAGGAAAACGGCTTGAAATTCAAGAATGATTTTGCGCTGATGATCAAAACAAATTGACAAAAGAACTGTTCCGGCAAATATTTCGGAGAAAATAGTGTTCCAATTTATCCACGGGGTTCTTATAAGCAGTTGAGGTGTGAAATTTTTGTTTAACTTTATACTAGAAGTTTAAACAAAAACACCACACATCTGAACTGCTACTATATATTTTATTTAAACCCCTCAAAGTTTTGCTGTAGACTGGTGCTCAACAAAAGTGTTAATTAATTATCCATTTCGTTTTTTTTCTGTAAGCAATTTAAAATCTCGGCACATATTCTAGCAATCGGAAACTCTGATGAGTAGATTCCATTTATTTGTACAATACTCACTTTTTTGACCCATTGTCCACTGTTTACGGCGTTTTATATTTTTGCGGGATTTTTTCCGGTTTTCTTCAAATGAAGCTTTTTTCTTAGATCCAAAACTTATCAGCATACAAAATTCTGCAGCAAGTTTTTTTTCATAAGATGGCGACATTTTTTATTTCTATTATCGTGAAGCAAACTATTGTACCCCAGTTATAATGAAGATCGAACGTTTTTGGACGTTTTTTGTTCTGTAATCTACTGAAATTATTCCACCATAAATCAGATCGGATAAAACTAACTAAGGTTTTTGTTGAAGCCAAAAAATACTGAAAAGATAAATGAAATTACATCACGCTAAACTAAAGTAGCAACTGTTTTTGTTGATTTGTGTGTTGTTATTTGCAAAATGGCTAACTTTCATTTTAATTGCTAACTTTATTCAAAAATACTTCAGAAAAAATTGGACTCAAACTTAGTAAAAATGATTGATTCATTCCGTCCCAAGGATATCATTGGGTTCTTGGAGGATGAAGCTAAGATAAAAAAAGTATAAGAACATTGTTTTAGTTTGTTTTCGGTTGTTAACATTATCAAGCAATCGACTTCAGAAGGCAAACATTTTGCTGTCATGAAAAGATCAAAATCAAAATTCTCACTCGTAGTTTTCCTACATGCATAAAATTTTTGGTTAAATTACTAATTTCTAGCTTGCAACAGCAATTTAACCTTTCACGTTCAATTGCAACAATAAAAGCAGCAACAATTAAACTTTTCACGTTAAATCGTTGTTGCTTAGAAATTTCAATATTTTTTTTCGAGAATAAAACTTTGAAAAATGTTCTAACTCACGCAACATCAGCTCTAGAGTTTTATCAGTTACATCTAGCATTGATTTATTTGCGCTAAGAACTTGTCTCGGTGCAGTTCAGTTTTGTTTGATAACAAAGTCGTTTTGATTTCTTGTTAACTGTTTCTCCTTAGTATGTTACTAGGTGAAATTTAATTTGTCTTCGAAAAAAAAAATTGTTCGAGCTATGTTGCGACTAATTCAAAAAAGTATGTTTTTCAGATATTGTTTTTAATATCACACTTGAACTGGAAACAAACAATAAAAATCAGTAAATTGCGAAATTCTGGCATCGAAGACCTATTTTTTGAAGTAGAAAATTCCATGTTTGCTCTTTTTTTCTTTACAAAACTGCACAAAAACTGTTGATCTGAAGATTTAATTTTTTTCCACCGGAACCCTCAGCCGTGGAAAAACCGAAAAGTTATTTCTTACTGAAATTTTTAGTTTCACGGTAAAAAACTATTCTCAACATCTGACTGAAATAGTTTCTGAACAGTTTTTGCAGGCTCTAGTTGACTAGTTGAAACTTAATTAAACTCAAAAAAAAACTGAAATAATACAAAAATTGAAGTTTTGAAAAATTAGGCTGTGTTCAACCTATTTTTTTTACTGCGTTTGATCAAAAACGAATATGTTTCGATTGTGCTTTAGCTATAATTCTATTTTCTTGATCAAAATCGGATATGCTGAACCTATATTTCGACGTTTTTGACAAAAAAGTGAATAACTTCGTTTGCGAAATTTTGATTGTGCTTGACCTGTTTTTTGATTTTCTACATTTTGATTTTGTAGTTGACTTAAAATAGCTTTTCTTTCGGGGATTTTTAGTCGAAAAGTTCTAGATTAAAGCCTATTCGAGTCTATTCGGGTCTATTCGGTATTATAAAATTAAAAGCGGCTGGTCGATCAAAAATTGTGTATTTCAACTGTGCTCGATCTATGTTTTGACTTTCACAACTATCAACTGACGTGAATAAATGGAAATGAAATTTACAATATTTGCTTATCAATTTTTTTTCGCAATGTTGCTTGAACTGAAAAAAAAAGATTAAGTAATTAAAAAGATTGAGTTTTTTCTAAAATATTGACTGAAAATGTTGATCTGAAAATTGATGTTTGAGAAGTTTTCAGTTGAATTTAATTTTTCCGCAGGAACCCTTAGATCCTTTAAAAATAAAAGTTTCCCTCTGAAATTTTTTGAAATTTGCTGCAAGCAAATTTCCCCAAAATATTTTGGTTGATTGCAATTTCATGAGATTTTGTTGCTCAATTTTTAGTTCAATTGTTCAATTGAAACCTTCATAAAAGTTAAACTTTTGATAGTTTAAGTTATGTTCGAACTCTTTTTCAACTGTGCTCGACCAATGTTTTGGATTTCTTGACCGAAATCGGGTAATTTTTTTACTCTGCTCGACCTATACTACCATTTCCTCGATCAAAATTGGGTAGGTTTTGATTTTGTGCCCAATTTACAGTTGCTTCTCGACCACTGCATTTTCTCGAACTTTAAAACCGAAACATAACTCGAGCACCTCGACCCTTTACTTTAAAGTTTATTTG